ACTGGACTGTTCTGAAGTGGCTTCTATGAGCCCTGATCTAGATCCTATTGGACATCTGTGGAAGGAGCTGGAACATGGCGTCTGGAGAACCTGAGACACCTGGATCAGTGTGCTCATGAGGAGTGGACCAGAACACCTGCTGAGAGCAGCACAAGTCTCACTGACAGCTACAGAAACCGTCTGATTGCAGCGATCGCCTCAAAAGGTTGAGCAACAACATGTTAAGTGAAGGTACCATCATGTTAGTCCAGGCCGGCTTCATGAGTTTATTCTTTAAATAGTTCTGTTGAACCACGGTTCAAAACCAACGTCTGATTTCCATTGGTTAACTTTCATAGAATTTTTATTTATTATTATTTTGTCAGATTCAAGTTATTTCTGTGACCGTTGTGGGTTTTCCTTTCATTAACCGACCGGTACCAACTATTTGGTCCACGTGTGTGTGTGACAGTTGAGCTAATTTAGAAGTGGTGACATCCGAGTTTTGTCCAACACTGTCTGCAGCACATGTAGCAGAGTCACAGCCGAGCAGCCGGCGTCTTCACGGCAAACCGCTGACGAGTCCGAAACATTCCTGAAAAGTTTTCCTTCTCAAATGCCTCCAACATAAATACATATATAAATAATGTCAGCTGATGGATGATATTGGAGCTTTTCACTCTATACAAATGAGAACCAGGGCGCCTGGTGGAGCTGGACTCCCATGTGCAGGGCTGCAGTCCCCAATGCAGAGGTCACGAGTTTGAATCCCACTCATGGCCCTTTTCTGCAGGTCCTTCCCCGTTCTTCTCCCCACTTTCCAGTCTCTCTCTTGACTGCACTATCAAATAGAGACAAAAAGCCCCCCCCAAAAAAAGAGCATCGCTCAGGTCTGGTCTATAATAACTGAGTTCTTTCTGTTGAATTATTGGTCATAAATCAAGTGAACTCAACTCTTTTATTTCTAAGAAATCACTGATTTAGTTTGAGGTAATTATTGTTTTCAGTTCTTTGAATTTTAGACAAAACGAGACAACATGTGGAAGCTTGTGGTGGACGTATCAGCACGTTTTCCTGTCATATGTTGAACGAACTGATTAATCTGCTGAGCGAAAAACGACGAGTCGCCCCAGATAGCTGACATCTGCAGCCACTTCTTACAAGATGTTCTGTGCCAGTGGTAAGTCTGTGACGGAAAAACCAAACACCCACGCTTCCACTTTCTAAATGTAAGCCAAGCGGAGCCCCTCGGTACGTCTTCGCTCCGAGGTCACGCCTGGGTTTGGTGCCAGCAGACTTCCCGTCTGGAGCCTGGCATCAGGAAGTGGGGTGCTGCTCAATCAGGCAGAGGTAAACATGGCCTGTGAGGAAAAAGGAGGGAACATTCCTCACACGGAGAGCATGTCCGAGTGTTCAGCCGACAAGATAAGGTTACACACATGAAGGGGATCCGAAGACGAAGACGATACATGAGGGAAGAAAAGAGTCAGTGGGTCGATTAACAAACACAAAGTGTGCCTTTAGTTTTCTTGCAGCCTGAAAGGTGAGCTCAGCATCACACGAGCTGCTTTACTTGAAGCTTGACAAGTTTGTCTCATCACACAAAGCTTTTCTTTCTGAAGTCAAACGGTGCTGCTGCCACTCGCTGATCCCAGTTCAGCGCTGATGCTGGTGGCATCTGTTGGCTTCTGATAACTGCTCGGAATTTCACACGGATGGAGGGAAGTGTGTTTGCCTTTGTGTGTGTGTGTGTACACAAACTAGTGTGTGTGTTGTTTGCAAAAGGTGGGACGCGTTTGGTTACACACCGGTACAGTGTTGGGAGACGCTGGGACTGTGTTAGCAGCTGCAGGTGCTCGGCAAAGAAAATGTGGAGCAGAGAAATGCTGAACAAGTAGCGCGAGCAGAGGGGCCGGCGGGGCTGAGCGCTGCAGTAAGGACACTGCAGCAGACACACATGTGACAGAGGAGGGCAAGAGGATGCATGCAGCCCGGTGGGGCATCACACCGTCCTCAGAGTGGTCAGTCAGCTTCTTAATGCTCTCACACAGTATGTTTCTGCTCTCCGTCTCCAGAGGATGGGCTCAGGGTCCTGGTTCCTGAGGAGATGTCTCTGGGTCGGCTCCTGCGTCGTGCCTCCTCCAAGGCCTCCGACCTCCTGACCTTTAATCCCGGGGCGGGGGGCTCGTCGCTACGATCGGGTCTGGACGGAGAGATCATCTTCTCCAAAAACAATGTTTGCGTGCACCCGGCGGAGCCGCTGCCCGGCCTGGCCGAGCACCACCCAGGTCAGGCTGCACCCAGACCAGCTGGAGTTATAAATTATTCTCTGTATTTGTACAGGTTCGTAGTGTAGAAACAGCAGCACAATTCGCCAGCAGCTCTCTACCCATAAACACGATCTTTGTTATGTGCAGAATGCTGAATTCCAACCAGAAGGTTTATGGAGAATCTTTCTACCTCACACTAGACACAAAAAGCTTTTGGACAGGATATACAGAAAGCACAAAAAGACACAAACAAAAGGCTTTAAAAGGACCAAAGCAAAGTAAAAGATCAGTTTAATAATTATAACAAACTTGGAAGCAGATGGAGATAGTCCAAAGTTTAATTTAAGCCTCTTTCTGTAAATGAGCAACAGAGTGAGTTCACGTTTTGCAAAAACAAAAAGAGGCAAAAATCAAAGAGAAAATGTAGCTCCAGTTCTTTAAAACACATGTTTACAGCTGCAAACCACCAGTCAGCTTCATTCAGGCTTTATAGTGCTTCCACGTCTGCCACCAGGTTGCTGGTTTGCATTTTTTTCATCTTTGCAGCACTTCCTTAATATTTCATCTCTTCTGTGATTCTCTGTTTGTGTCTCTCAAGGTCAGCTGTCAGGTTTCTCTCCGTCGTCACCGTTTCATGTCTCAGATTACACGTTTGTCTTAAAGTTGCAGCAGCAAAAAGTTTTGACATTTCCTCTCATGTTACCAGATTATCCTCAACACATAATCACTTCTAGCATAACCGCCGCTCTGTCGCCCCCTGCAGGCTACCTGTGTGTGCACATGGAGAAGGACGAGAGCCTGGGAACCACCCTGATCCTGACCTGGGTGCCCAACTCCCGCATCCAGAGGCAGGACGAGGAGGCGCTGCGCTACATCACTCCGGAGAGCTCCCCTGTGCGCAGGAACACCCGCCGCCGAGGCCGACGGTACGAAGAGACGTTCAGAGAGAGCCTGAAAAATGTCTCGACGCTGAGGAGATGAAACTTTACTTATCCCAAAGGAAATTCTAGGGCCAAATATTGCTTTAGAAAAGTAAATGCAGTGCTTTAAAAGTGGGAAAGCAACAAGTTATAAGTAGGATGCAGTAATAAATAAAATAAGTTAAAATAAAACTAGAACAAAACAGGAAAAAGTAATGCTGGCAGTGATACTGAGGTAATAAGTAATGTCTCACTGGATAATGAGATGCTGCACCCGAGAAATGGAAATAGGAAATATTGCACATCACATATTGCACATGAAATGAAAGAGACATGACACGGAAACTACACAAAGTCAAACTGCAAATGAAACCGATATGATTGTGTAGATGTGAGTTTTAGCTGTCATGGAGGATAATTCTCTTCGTTAGTCTGAAGGTTCTCCTGCAGACAGCTTGGATGTGCTGCAGGGTTGTTTAGGAGCTGCTGGTGTTCTGATTATTATTATAAAATGTTCTGTCTTTGGCTGAATCCCACTGTTATCTTATGTCAAGAGGACCAACGTGTCTAAAAAATGCAACTTCAAATGAGGAGAAACCTGCAGCTACACCATAGAAACCAGAGTGAGACAAAGATGTAAAACATGTCCAGTACCAGTGTTATTGTCCGTCATGCTGGTGGTGTTTTAAAGCTGCCCTTCCTCCTCCCAGACCCCACTCTCGTCCCCCAGCAGCCCAGGAGGAAGACGAGGACGACGACAGGAACATCACCAGCAGCGCCTCTGCAGAGAGCCACGGCCTGGCGGTGGAGGCCGGCGCCGATCCGTCCTCGCAGCAGCATCAGCAGCCGCCATTGGCCGGGGAGGAGGGCGACGAGGGCTCCTGCGAGCTGTCAGACGAGGTGAGCCGGGACAGCACCATGGGCTCGGACTCGGACACCTTCTCCTCGCCGTTCTGCCTGTCGCCTGTCAGCGAGGCTCTCTGTGAGAGCAGTGGCTCCGTGTTCCTGGACAACGAGAGCAGGTCGGTGGAGGCTTCATGAATTAAACACAACAGAGTTCAGCGCTTTATGTTGTCCTCATTCATAACTTCACTACTTGGGATGCTTCAGGCTCCTGAAGCTGAAGAGACAAGCTGCTGACAGGGATGTTTGTTGCACTTTCTCAGCTCATTTCATGTCTGTTTGCTTTTGTGAGGGATGTACAACCCGGGTTCTCCGGCTTCCTCCCACAGTCCACAAACATGCTGAGGTTAATTGGTGATTGTAAATTGTCCGTAGGTGTGAATGTGAGTGTGCTTGGTTGTCTGTCTCTAAGTGTAGCCCTGTGATAGACTGGTTACCTGTCCAGGTGAACCTGCCTTCACCCTGAGTCAGCTGCCCCCCACCACCCTAGTGAGGATGAAGCAGTGCGATGGATGGATGGATGGATGGATGGATGGATGGATGGATGACTATCAGACTATCACTGCATTATTTCTGGTGCAGCTGAAGCCACACTGATCCGGTCCTGTAGTTTGCAGCTTCATCTTCTTGCTTGGGCCTTGTTTACATCCCAGTACGTCCTGTTTGAGGGTTCGTTGTGCTTTCTGCTCAATTTCTTTCTGCTGCTTTGATTCAAGTATGAAAGCATTTGATGCAGGAAGCAGCTCTGCACCATCGTGTCTGGAAAAGAAGTAAAAACAGTCACAGCTTCTGGTGCTGCTCAACTTAATGTGTTTGCTTTGCAACTAATTAAATACATTTAAATGAATTTGTCTGTAGTGCAGTAATGTACCATACTACTGTTCCTGAATTCAAGAATCACATTGCCTTTGTTTCCTCATCAGTTAGAGTTCTGACTTTTATTTTGACGAGTTCCTGCCACTTTGATTCTCTCAGACATGCAACCAAACCTTGATGTCATCGTAGCATTCTCCTGTTTTTATCAGCTTTGCTGCTGATTTTGCAGTTTTACTGTATTACAGACCATAAAAGGAAAACCTCACGTCTGTCCTTTGGTATCAGGACAAGCTGATACGTGGCTTTATGCAGCTTAATGCATGTTGATGGATGGAAGTTCTGTGACTTTGCATTTAAGGTGATGATGCAAACGTAGTGGAACAAGTCGTACAACAAATGACTTTCTGCAGAGATAAATAAGAATGCGTCAAGTCATTAGTAATACATCACTGTTTGTAAATGAAAGCAGCCAAATGCAGAGAAAACAGAAAATCAGCACGAATAATTCTGTCTGCTTCAGAGTAGATAAGAATCATACGGACAAATGGCCACAATAGTGACTTTACATTTGTTACTGTGAAGGTGCTTTTATTTACACACTGCGGTTAAACATCCTGCAGACGTGTTCGTTAGTGTGTAAATTCTGAAGCTGCTTTAAAAAGTAGTTTCTGGTGGAAAATATTATTTTGTGTTACTTTTGACAGAGACTTGTCCAGAGTTTGTCTGACGGAGGGAGACGTTGGCCTTCTGTAACAAGACAGCAACGACTTTTTAATATAATTAAAATATTAAATGTCACAGATGAATTCTGGAGACTTGGTGATGATCTACCTTTATTCTGAGGAAACCATTCACAACATGCATTTATTTCTATTTATTTATGTTTATTATCACAGGTCACAATAGAACCAGATTATTATTGATTATTGGTGCACCATTCACTTCCCATCACCACATTAATGACACTCACATGAAGTCAAAGATCAGGAAGTAAACGAGCCGTCTTGACCCCTCGTGTACAGAATCATCCGACCTTCTGGAAGCAGGCAGCTTTTCGTCTGTTAGCTTCTTTTTCTTATTCAAACTCTTATTAATAGAAATAAGAAATGTGTGAAAGTGGCTTTCCTGTAGTTTGATCATGACGTTTGATTGCATCATCTGACAAATGTGACGGATTATATTTCATTATAAACTCTGACTGACGAGCTGTAAAAGCTCCTCTGACCCAGATGTGCTGGACGGGTCTGCACTCTGATCCACCAGGTGTGTTTTCAGTTGCACCGAGCTGCCAGAAGGTGGAGCCAAAAAGAAAAGAATTGATGGCATGTGGGCTGGTTTTCAGCCTGAGGCCACAGGGTGGCTTCCTGCACAGCTCCTGCAGGTCTCCAGGGAGAGAGGGCAGGTAGATGACTTCAACAGGGGCCCTGAGATGTTGTCACTCTGTGGGATGTCACAGATGGCACAAAATGCAGTAAATCCTGAAAACCTTGACGCCTCCTCGGACCGTCCTCTAATCAGGAGGAGCCATCTGGACAGAGACCTCGCAGACTTTACGATTCCCTCCGTGGCCGTTTCCTCGCGCAGCTATTCGGCCTGACATGCTGCCCAGAATGTGAGCCTGTGTCAGAGAAAGCGAGGGAGAGTCAGTGTGTGCGTTTTTGAGCAGCTTCTCAGAGCCCAGCTTGCTGTAAGTGCAGTCAGTGTGTGACTTGGCAGCGCTCTGGGCTTCACAGCTTCTAACCTTTACTCTGTCCCTCCACTCTGGGCTCCCTTCAGCTCCCAGTGCCTCTCATTTCCTTTCCCTCCTTCTTCGTCTTCTGTTGGAGTCTTCGCCCATCCTTTCTCATCTTTTCCTTCTCGCTCATTCTCTCAATTTTGTATCTTTCGCTGCTGCCCACCTCTCAAATATCTGCCCCCTCCCTCTGCCCCTTCCCTTCCTAAAGTCTGTGTGAAGCCCTTTGATTCCCAGTGCTCCCAGGGTTGTTGTGCTGGGCTGAATGTCAGCTCTCCGGATTAGAGCGCTGAAGAGAGCGGAGCAGCAGCCAAAACCCTGGAACCCACTCAATCTCTCTTTCTCTCTCTCTTGCTTTAATTGACACTGTTAAGGGGCCAGGAACTGGAAACATGTCACTTGGAATCATTCAAAGAGAAAGAACCGCGTATGGGAGAGCGAGGGCGGATTGAAAAGGGGCAGAAAGAGGAGAGTGGTGGGAGAGAGCGAGGGGCAAAAAGAAAAGAAAGAAATCCACAGCAACCTCTGTCAAGCTCCTTAACAAGTTTCTTTAAAGTTTAACTGTAGTTTATGGAACCGTCAGTGTCTGCTGCCTTCTCCAGGCTTCACTGGTGTCGTTTCAGCGTGTGATTATATCAGAACACTGGTTTCCAGTGTGTTTGGCTTTAAAAAGACTGATTCTATTTTCTTGCAAATGCTGCACTGCTTCCATATATTTGATCTCCCAGTTGTGTTTCATGGTTTTTCCTTGTTATGTTTAAGCTTGTTTGTAATCTAAAAGCACTTTTAGCAGCAGAAATAGTCTTTTTTCCCTGTTTGTGTTCTGTTAAAGTGCTAACAATAAGCACCGACCCCCTCAGAGCTGCTTTATTGTTCTACAAAATTGAATTAAAGTGGATTTAATACGTCTTGTCTGACTCTGGTCAGCAGCAGAAACAACTTTCTAGAGATATCCTAGTGTTTAAATCCACAGTAACTCTGTGAAGCTTCTTAAAGTTTAACTGTAGTTTATGGAGCCGTCAGTGTCTGCTGCCTTCTTCAGGCTTCACTGGTGTCAGCGTGTGATTATATCAGAACCGTGGCTTCGGCCTTAAGACAGAGTGATTTTTTTTGGTTAGGTATATTTAATGTCCCAGTTGAGGTCACATTTTTTCCTGTTATACTGAGATCAAACAAAAGCAGTCAATGAACCAAACTTTTATTTCTGCTTTCTTGTTCTGTTACAGAGCCAACAAACAGCATCGATCCCCTTCAAGCTGTTTTATTGTTCTACACATAGAACTAAAGCAGGTTGAATACAGCTTGTGTGACTCTGGAAAAGAGTTCATCTCCCTTGAATGTGTGCTGTTTTGGGATTTCAGAGTGTTTACATGACGTATAGGTTTAAAACAAAGCTAGCATCAGCTGCTAGTTTCCTGTGCTGACCATTTTCCAGCGTGTGCCGGCAGCGCCCACCCCTCTGCTCCCAGCTCCCTCCAGGGATTCGCTGAAGGACCTCTGAGGCCTGCAGCACTCGGTCCTGGTTCTCTGGTTCTCAGGGTGACCAGGCAGCACTTTGCTCTCTCGGGTAAAACCTCCTGTATGTGCAGAGGAGTGTTTTGAAGGGCCTCAGGGCAGTTTGCTGTCACCTTGGCCTGGTGGGACGCTCTGGCTCCAGCAGCCCGTCAAAACAGCTTGTTTACATCACGGTGCAGTTTCTGGCTGCTGCCTGCGTACATGAACAGAATCCGGCTTCTTGCTAATTGCGTGTTGCTGCGGTGCACACGGGCATCGATCTGAGCTTAAATGTCACAAGTCACACGTGCTTTCTCGCTCTGCTGTTTGTTGTTTTTTCAGCCTTCTGTCCGTGCGGCAAAATATGCAAAAACATTTTTGCATGCATGCTTTAAGCACGCGGGAAAGAATGAAGGAAATGATGGCTGTGTGTGAGCTCGTACGCCTGGGAACACCCTCAGCTGGACAGTCAGTGGAGTTACGTAAAAGGTAGTCCTTGAAAAGAGCGGCTCCATATTTCAGGTTGACGAACGCCCTTAACAGAGCTCTGTGCCGCTCAGTCTTCCACAGTCTGGTTTGTGGCGTGATACATGAGACAGAGAGCAGTAAATCACCAGATAGCATAAGGAAACTGTGCAGCTTGGATTGATCAGCCTTGTTATTTTCCCATCTGCTAACAGGGAAATGATTAGCCAGACATGATTGATTCAGGGTGCCAGAGATTAGACCAAGCCCACCTCCCTCATCGTCCACCAGCCTCCTGTGTTTGCCTGTAAAATAGGTGCAAATACAAAGTAGGTTCCTCTTAAATTCACACATGCATTAAACCCAGAAGGAGAAAACATACCCTTAGGCTTCTTTTTTTTATTTTTATGGATATTATTGCCTAAATTTTCAAACTGAATGAATTCTTAAGTGTGTTTTATAGCAAGTAGCAAGAAAACAGCTTCATTTAGACGCCTGCTTCTCAAATGTCAGCGGGTTTAGCGCTGGTCTGTTTCTCAGCGTTAGCATGTGTGGAGACGTGTCGGAGGGTGCATTTTGGTCATTAGTTATGGTCCATTCACTCGTGTGTTTATGTGTGTGTGAGAGAGAGAACGTGTGATTTTTACAACTGGATGTGTGTAGCTGTTGACCACATGCATGGTTTGGTCTGTTTCTGTGTTTCCACATGTGTGTTTAGCTGCACATATACATGTTTATAGTGTGTGTTCTTACATGTCTCCTCTCGCAGCAGAGCTCAGGTTTCAGTGCCGGGAACAACATGCTCGCCGTTGGGGAATGACAGGGGAAATTGGACGGCAGACAGTGTGATTTGTGTGTGTACACATTTCTTTGTGTGTGTGTGTGTGTGTGTGTGTGTGTGTGTGTGTGTCCTCACAAGCCTCCATGCATTCCTCCTATTCTCAGCCTCTTGGCGGAAGCACACTGAGACACCAAACAACAGGCCGAGCTGAGCTGCACAGCGATCAGCGGACTGAACACCCGTCGTGTCTGCAGGATATTTATTCTGAATGTTGCACATTAAAGAACGGGAGGAAGATGCAGAAGAGATAATAATAATAATTCTTTTATCTTAATAACGAGATGTTTGTTTTTGTCAGGGAGCTGTGTGAGGAGCCCATGAACCACTCGGTGAGCTCCGCCTCCAGCCTGGACAGCCACGCCCCCTCGGAGAGCGGCGGCCAGTCGCAGGGCATGCGATGGGAGGAGCAGCAGAAGGTTCTGGCTCTGGAGCAGCTCTGCGGCGTCTTCAGGGTGGACCTGGGTCACATGAGGTCACTGAGGCTCTTCTTCAGGTCAGCAGGGGTCACTTTGCCTCGCAAGGCCGTCGGCTGTTTGCTGCCATGTTCTTGACGTTTCGTTGCCTTGTTGCAGTGACGAGGCGTGCACTAGCGGCCAGCTGGTGATAGCCAGCAGAGAGAGCCAATATAAGATCCTCCACTTCCATCATGCTGGCCTGGACAAGCTGGCGGAGGTCTTCCAGCAGTGGAAGTGCTGCAGAGAAACTCAGCTTAAGGACCAGGTCGGGTTACAGTCCACTTTGGCGTCCAGTTTTATTGGGAAAGAAAGTATTTTTCAGCTTTTCTCGCCCACCTTTTCGTAAAATTTCAGTTCTATGCCAACATTTTCAGCCTGAATCTCTGCTTTCAGGTGTCGGATGAGAAGTCCTGCATGCAGTTTTCCATCCAGAGGCCCACCCTGCCGTCGGCTGAGACCCACCCGGAGGAGAGGCTGTACCGGAGGCTGGACGTCACCACCTGGCTACGTCACCTGAACCACAGCGGACAGGTGGAGGAGGAGTATAAGCTACGCAAGGTAGCGTGTGAACAGGTTTTTATAATCCTGAGGGATCGATCAGGAAAATGAATACATCAGTCAAGTTTCCCTTCATTTTCCCCTGAAAGTCATTGTGAAAGTCAAACCCACACTGAGTGAGTTTCAGTTTTAATCAGCTTCCTTTCTGTAAATAATGATGGCCAATGTCCCCCCGTGAGTCATTTCAGTTCGTTGGGATTGACTCGATTTGAGGTTTACGATTCTGCTGAAATGACTCAGCGGCAGTTTCCTCAGTAACTGAGCAGATGCAAAAACAGAAGAGCATTGTGATTTACAGGGTTTGTTTTTTCAGGAGGTTTCGTTTTTGGAGCGTTCTGCAGCACTTTTGAACTCATACATCTGCTGTAGTTCAGCAGGTTGATAAGTGTGGGCCGAGCCATCCGTTATCGGCCGGGTGCCCACAGTTTGCCCTCCGAATGCTGCCGTTGTGTTCACCGCTGTTTGTTCGCCTCCCTCTCTTCGCCCAGGCCATCTTCTTCGGTGGCATCGACCCGTCCATCCGTGGCGAGGTGTGGCCCTTCCTGCTGCACTACTACAGCTACGACTCCACGTCCCAGGAGAGGGAGGCCTGGAGGCTGCAGAAGCGCACCCACTACCACGACGTCCAGCAGAGGAGGTGGGCCGCCGCAGCCGCAAATCTAAAACATAATGTTGTACTGAAATAGAAAGAATGCCCCTCAGCTGGTGACATGTGGGCCACACAATCCTTTATAGGAATCATTTTAAAGTCTGACAGCTCCTGACCCCGTAAAGCAGCAGATAAAACGTCACGCGGCCGCCAAACGCCCACTCAGTCAAACATTAAACCATATGTGAGCCTATTGTGGCTTCTCATTCATCACGGGCGCTGAGCAATCAATAGGCTCAATCAGGGAAGTGTTAAGGGGAGGTGCTGAGCGCGACATAAAAGGTCTCTGGAGGGAAAAAAACATGTCAATGCTTATCAGATCATACTCTCTCGTCAGGAGGGGAAAAAAGGCAGCATCGGTATGCACACGTCAGCACAGAGTCTTTATTTGTCTCCATCCTACCATCAAAAGGTTAAGTGTGCACATATTTTCACACGTTCCGCCGCTCCGTCTGTAATGAATGTGATAATTGGACAGGTTTCATCTGTATGGCCTATTAACATTTGGACTACATCAGAAGGTCTTATTGAAGTCGGGCAATTAGAGTCCTTGTTCTGACTCTGGTGCGGATTCCTTCAAAGATCCTTCGACCAGAGCAGCCTCCAGGGCCACTGGTTGATCATTAGGAGCAAGGAAACACGTCTGCGCTTCGGTTCCTCGCCTCCTCACCTCCTGTCCTTCTCTTAGCTGTGATAACCGAGCAGGTGAAGGCAGACGTTGAGCAGCTGTAGAACGACTCGACTGACCAAAGACTGCTGATGTGTGAACAAACTGACCAGACTGAGGGAAAGTGACACGGAAGATGAATATTTGAAGAGTTAAATATATTCAATATATCTC